TCCCAAGGTGAAAGAAATATAAGTGACAGGGATCCCTAAATAAATGTCCTCCTTGCTGAGTGTAAAAGCTTTTGGTCACATCGAGGAAGCCAAGCAGCATATATGTGAGCGTCACTCATTGCTGTCAGTGCTCAGGAGGCTGCATGGCAGCCATGTCAGACACCTAAGCCTGGGTTCTGTCTGCATTGCCATTGTCTTCCAGAGCTGATTCCCTCCAATAATTAGAAATTCCTGATGAAGCGCTTGTAGCACAAAACGCATTGAATGCTGAATGGTAACTACTCCCAACATTATAAATCTAAGCTCAATCTCATAAAAGCGTTGATATGTTAATGCAATTTCAAAAGTTATGTTTAAGATTTTTAAGTATGTAACTTTCAATGAAAGAATCCCTTGTGATCCTGCCATGAAGGTTCTTGCTCAGGTGCTTCCCGTTGTGGGGTGACAACTGGCTACCAATTGTGTTACTACGTTCTCACCCTGTGCCTATGGTGAAGACTGCATGCGGCTGTGGTGACACACATTTTACAAGCATGCTGCACCATTGTCACAATCAGGAAGCTGGTCAAGAACAATGTCGTGCAGCCTGAAAAGACTGGAGGAGATAGGAAGAACTGCAATGCAATGATGGATAAAAATAGGTGAAAACACTGTTTTATGGAAAGAAATAATGTGGCAGTTATTTATGGTGCACATGTAAGTAAAAAATACACTGAAATGAAACAGAATATAATACCCATTTTGGTACAATCTTAAAGATGGGGTCATGTTGGGTGAAAAAGTTCCAAAGATGTCCCCACTGCACTCCTTACTGGTATGTCCCTTTTAAGGTGAGTGCTGCAGTGTCAGTGGATGGCGCCACTTCAAATCCAAGTAGTAAAGTGGTGATATACATTACATGTTGGGTAGATACCAAACATGTCAAACCTTAAAATTCCACGCGCCTATAAAATGGAAAAAAACTACAGTGCCCAACATTTCTCAGAGGCAACTGTGTAAGCTAAATGTCAATGTTAGGATTTACTTTAAACATTTTTACTACATATACACTGTGGCCAGATTATTATGACCACCCCATCAGTACTTCGTTGGGCCACGAGATAACTCCACGAGATAACTTTGTTGGGCCGCCTCCTGACTCCACGAGATGTTGAAAGGTGATGCGAGGAATCTGACACTGCACTGTTGCCCTTCTCTTGTACCAGTCTTGCCACTCTCTGTTCTGCCCTAACATTGACTAGTCGCTGACGGCCACAATTCGCACGTTCAGACCCAGATTTTCAGCTGACAGTGCAGTCTTTAAACACTTTAACAATGAGCCCCTCTTGAACATTTAACGCATTCTGCTGTATTGCTGATACTCGCTCCATGGCTCAGAGCGCCAACAATCATCCCACGTTCAAAGGCTGTTAAATCGCGTTGTTTACCCGTATCTTCAGAAAAAAATCACTTCTACTGTCGTGGTAAACAACCTGCTTCCCTATTTATAATGGTCTGGCCCTCTAGCAACTTCAGCGCCAAATTATAGCTAATTATAGCTAATTTGCCTACAAACGTCAGGTGGTCATAATAAGCTGGCCACTCAGTGTACAGTATAATTGCTATACAGGAAATTTGTGTTATTTAACTACTTCAGAACTGCTGTACTTATATAAACGGCGCTGTCCTAAAGTGGTTATACAAAGCTCACACATGGTGATGGCTGTCACCTGCAAGGGTTAAAGAGCCACCCGATCATTTGTGTGCAGCCAGGGCATGTGTGCCCAGCCTCTATTGCAGCTGCCCGCAACCCCGGGCTTTGCTGTCCCCCGTACGGACCAATAACCGGCACGGTGGGTCAGTTAAAAAATGTAAATCACATAGAAAAATATAAAAAAACACAAAAAAATGAAAAGTCCCCGCCCCCATGTACATGCTCGCACAAATGCAAATATGCTTTGGGTGGGCCTACAAGCGGCAATGATTGTGCCACACATGTTACATATCACTGCGGACATCGAGAGCAATCATTTTAGGGCCATCACTCACTGGTTACTCTAAACTGATGAGAGGTAAAGGCATTTAAAGTGTCGTCTATGGTCAATTTTGGGTACTGTAGTTTTTTGTTATTTCACGGGCGCATACAATTTTAAGGCTTGACGTGTTTGGTATCTATTTACCCAACATGACTCCATCTTTCAGATTTTACCAGAATGGATATTATATTCTGTTTGTGTGCACTAAAATCCATGTTAGTGCATTTTGTCCTGAAAATACTTGTTTGATAAAAAATTGCAGCTAGCATTTAATAATTGTTTGGGGGTTCAGATTTTATCATGTGTATGTGAAAATTTTGAAATTGCTCTGGACGGGAAGTGGCTAAAGTGGTATTCAATGTATACATTGGTACCTCGGATCACAAACTTGATTTGTTCCAAGATTCTGGTCGCGAACCGCTTAACATTTTCCCATAAGGTTCAATGTAAATAAGGTTAATCCGTTCTGAACCATATGTAAAAAAATGTTTTAACCACAACAATTTGAAACAAAATACAGTACAGTACAGTATGAAGAGAGTGAACACTAACCTTTCTTGAGGCGACTTCTGGCACGGAGGACAGGAAGGTGGGTGGTGAGGAGGTTATTGTCCGGAGGGAGAGTCCCCCTCCATAAGAACATCGGGGAGATCTCCTTCAGGAGCTTCCTCCCTTCTTTATCGCTTAGCTGCAGGGTCAATTTTGCAGAAAAATCTGTCTAATGTCACTTGTTTTTTCCTGCACTGCTTAACCCTCGGGAAATGAGAGACCACGTTATCGTTCATCAGATGGCTCTGCACTTTCTTTTTACCACCATGCTTGCTCTGCACTTTCTTTGGAGCCATGCTCGATTGAATAATACTGTACAGTACTGTATGTGCTAAAAAGCACACAAAGGACCTCGACTAGAGGAAGCTACAACCACGTGTCAGAGCAGGGAAGATGGCTATGGTAGTGTTCGTCACCCAATGCGGAGTTCGCGAATGGAAGCAAAATTTTGCCGAACTTCCTGTACACTAAACAAATTGTTTCGCGAACAGAAACAAA